CATAAAGCCAATCACACTAAGTACTGAATACGTCATATCTTTTGATTAATCGTTCACTACATAATAACTATGGATATAAACTGTCAGAATCGCGACGGATATCTCGTAATTAGTTCCAAATCACTGAGCCAAGTTCCGTCCAAAACTTCAAATAGGCTGAACGATGACAGACATAACACACAATTAGCTAATAATCAACTAATTAAGTCGGTTAACAGATACGCAAAAACAAATTCATGACACAGACACCCACGTGTACGCTGCTTCCTGTCAAGTTATTAACTACTGTTGCTGTTCTTGCTGTTTAGTGGCTGCAACAATCGGAGATTGTCAAAGATCGAGAATAAACTATAGTCGAAAGCGTGACATTTTCACGTGATTTTTCTATACCTCAATGTGATAACTAAATGCCACTCGGTGAAATATGCGTGTTGTGAGTGTCATAATGCCTTCAGTCGTGTAACTCGGCACACATTACACCACCCTTAGACTCTTCCCCCGGACAAGCTAATAGTCGAATTGCAATCCATTTACCAGGAAACACGCCAACGAGGAATAACAAGAAAAAATATATACATCATCATTCCTTTTATTCCTCTAACAGAATTGCGTTGAAGATTTCTCTTTAGTGCTCCAAGATTGATCGTTATACGTGATAAATATATCGGTTTTCCAGTCTCTAAATTGCACGACTGGCAAAATCAATATTCGCACAACAGCAATCGCCGTAGTTTGCAATATTTGCGTTTGATTGTTATTTGTTAAACATTCCGTTGGCCACAAACAAACAAAAAAACGCAGTTTTCATAGTTGACAACTGTTGTTCACGGAGGAATCGGTTTTCGATTCATTACTTTGGAAACTGTTGAAATATATATATATGCGCTGTCATTCGTATTCCTTTGTAGTTCGTGCGTGTGTCATTATCATTGCTTGAATGATCCGAAGACGTTCAGCTAATTGCTTCCCCGGTGGCCAATATACAATAATTGTGATACCCTGTTCTGTACGGGCTCAAAAAAAATGACGCTTGGTTCAACCAGTCTTTAGGCGTACATAATTATGAATGTTACAGTTACAACAGATGATACGGCACAAGTAATCTTTAAACCTGAAAAGCCACTATTTCATGTTTCCCACTGTTTTGCCGTCCTTTTTAGATTTTCCATTTGTCTGGGTTGGTTTCACGTACGATTTGTTTATGTCAATTTAATGTGAACCAATATAGTACGTGGTTTATTTAAAACTTGACTGAAGTGTGTACTTACGTTTACTTAGTGTATGATCAATGGGTAAGATGTGATAAGCTCGTACGGATTTAGATATGTCAAAACATATTTGTCAAGTAAGATCTCCAAACGTGGTCGATGGTTTTTGCTGTATATTTGAATCTTTATTGATATTAAATACGGAAAGTAAACAAATACAGTAGTGTTGAGCGGCACTTGCCGTGTTTCACAGTGGCAGCTTTAGCTCGACTCCCTCAAAATAATATATAGATGCCAATTAACCATATTTAAGTAAATTGTTTGTATATTAAGATAAATATTGGCTTATGTTTACAGGACTATTCCGTAACGATGTATGTTAGGCACTTATGGAATGACTCGCGGTTAGAATTTAACAGTTCCACGCCTATCACCGTCAGCGGCAGCCAGACCGATGGTATGTGGATACCGGACTTATTTTTTACCAATTCAAAAGATGCCGCAGTGCATATCAGTACATCCACAAGACAGAGTGTCCTACTCAGAATAACACCTCGTGGGGAAGTTCTATATACGATACGGTAATTCTCACTGATTTATTCAATATATTTGTTTTTGCATACTTCGTACGCCTGTGTAGAGTACTGTTAACTTCAGATAGCCTTGAGATATCTGTTAAAAGACATGGGGTTTAGATACGGTTACATCAGCGGCCGTTTTAAGCTGTTTAGGTATAAACATGCTCAACTCCCCCTGCTACGTGTGTGTGCTAAAGATATAACCTACACAACCCGACGCTCACAACTAGTTACTTATTATTTCGCGAAAAGATTAAAAACGCATACTTCAAATGCTTTCACGCATTGCAGTACTTGCTGATTGATATTAATGCACTTACTTATGCCAGCCGTCTTCGTGTTATATTAGGTGATCGTAATTGTTGGTGGTATGTGAATGCATGTACATGTGGCGCTTGTGCAGAAATACATTATAAAACACTATTTCAATAATTAATGAATAAATGATTATTCCACAAACACTTCACGAACGCTCACTCGTTCGAACATACGAGAATTTGATGTACACGTGGGGTTACACCAGCGTCTATAAAGAATTTAATTATATTACACTTTCGTAATACGAATCCAGTTGAAGAATACAAATTGCAATCACGACGTCGACGGGATAGCTACTTGGTTACTCTTAATGTATACTCAGTACCATCTACTGACACGTTACATCATGACTTTTCAAAAATCATCACCTAAAGGCCTTGACTTGTGTCTGATAGATTAGCAAGTCAGTTCGATCATGCCCTCCTGTGATTGAGTGACAGTGTCGTCGGCGCATGATAGAAATGCACAAACATGTGTCCATGGGATTCAAGTATACACATCATTCACGTGTCTCACCTGTCAGCGGACGAATGGAAATAAATCTCGGCTTATCCGTGCGTAGTAATAACAAAAACCGAATTGTTCGCAGTACGAACTAATGACTACTAATAACGCACCATTGCCAAGTAGTTGTTTCCGCTAAAATAGCTCCATCTGTCAAGCCAGATGAGTTAGGTGATTACGTTACCAATTTTGATTATTCTGTGTTTTGAGTGGCTCTATATATTTTGTTAATCAGAATTTTGTCAAGGTTCTTCCGTGAATGCGCACATTGGCAGTTACCATTTAGCTGCGTAAAGGTACTTTATGTAAATCCCTACCTCGATTAACGTTTACATGGACATTGTGGCATTGTGACCTCACTAGTCGACCCTACTTCGTAGTGATTGCTGACTTGTCTATGACTCATATACGGTGTGCACTGCCTAAATTCTATACTAGAAAAGCAGACTCCCATGTAATTGCATTTTCACGATATATATGCAAGATTCTAAGTAGTTACGTCATGGCTATTGTATGCATGTTACTTACATATTATGGCATGTGTATTTCAGTATGTGTTCGTCTTAAGTAATTTGCAGAATAGTTTGTTTTCGGGTACAACATAGTTAAAGCTTGTTAAAAAATGACTTATCGCTGTTTACCCAAATAACCGCAGACATGCTACCGAGTCTATTCGTTTACTTCAGTGTGTATCACTAGTAATCAGTTCACTGTTGTGAGTCAGTGTCAGTCACCCTAATCACTAGTAGTAAAATCAAAAGGTAATTTGAATCATGGTGATCACAATATACTAGCAATAATTATTTAATCATGGGAGACAATTCAAAGTTATTCTGCTTCCTGATTTAAGTCTTTTTCGTATAGGTAAATATTTCAAAATATCCAATAATCTCCAATTCTGGAAGTTAAAAATATAAATGAATTATGTTGTGTTAACTGACAGGATATACTTTTTAATATCGCTGTGAATCTTCATTCGTGAATTGATTAAACGCGTGTGCGTCGAGTTCAATGCACGCTTGGTCTCGAATGTTGCATGTAGTTATTGAGATCGCCCGAAAAATACAACAAAAGCATATAGAATAGCATATTACATGTAAAAAATATTATTAAATAAAATTACAAATGAAGCCAATTTATAGTTAAATGAATACTGTCACCAAACATTCTATTACAAAGACATGTTTTACGTACTGCATTTAATTTGTTCGATCATATTGTCACGTATGAATAAGAATATACAACGATTGTGTAATATTTATCCCAGTGTATACCTCCGAGGTCAATTACGATTGGACGCCGCCCACTCTAATTTTGATGTCTATTTACCGTATTAGCGCCCATTGACTCACTTCCTGCTATACCGCCGTGTCACTTCAGGGGAAACTCTCGAACATGTCAAAGAAACAGATATTATCCGTTGTACATTCACTGTATGATATTTTTGAATAGATAATTCGATTTTGCAAGAATTTTTTATTCCGAGATGGAATGAATGCCTGAATTAATTAATTGGGATAAGGCAGCGTTTCCGAGTAGCTGACACACCACGCTGTTAAGGTTCAATCCCGGACACGAGATTGCAGTAGTTACTTGGCCACCCATTACGATATATATATATACTTGTTTTTCAAGGCGGTAATTTGTTTTGCTACAAATGTATGCCATTATTTGATGAAAATAGATTTAAACACATTATCGTAAACATATGTGAAACATTTATTTACCATATAGTACTTTCGTTATATGTACACGTCATCGGTAATAGTCCTTTTTTCTCCCCATTTCTCTCTTTCGCTCTTCCGCTCTCACTGCCATTATCGTAAAAAGAAATCATTTCAAATTCAAGCTACATACTAGATTCTTGAAGTTTCTGTTCACTCACGTTTCGAACGTCAATCATACGAAATCGACAATGGCATTACACTTAAAGACGGCGGCATAGTTAAGCGAGTAATATTACGTACCCATGGTACATACAAAAAGGAATATGCATCGTAAGGTGAAAACTCAGTAAGCGAATCAGGTACTTTAATCCTCCCTGTATAATGATTTCCCGTGAACGTAAGAAGTCGCTAGTTTCTTAGACGTATTAATCACTTTGCTATACATGACGTACATTTCCGGATTATTTTCACTAGAATGGTTTGTGAATGAATTCTTAGCTCTGTCGCGCTACACGAATACCTTCCATTTATGACGTGTACTTTGTTGTTGCAAGCTCGGACATCGTTTTTGTTATTTCCCCATGCCTCCCACTACACCCTGATTAATATTTGGTTATTTTATACATTAAAACAAGTACGATGATCCAATATTGACCAAGGTGTTTGTATTGTATTTATGCTCATTATAACACCATTCAAATGCCTGTAAATAACCATATAACATATTTTAATACTTACAACGGGTTTGCTGGACGCAGAGAGTGAGTCGATACATCATCTTTTATAGAAGATTGTTTGTACGTGTTTACCTCTACAGATACATGAATCTCGTCAGTTTCCTTTGTTACATTTTAAAGTAGAGCAGTTTTCGTTGTTTGCTGTTAAATATGAGACGGCAGTCGAGCTGTTGTAACAATGAACTATGAATTTATAAAAGTGTAAAATAACGGGTTTTGTATGCATATGTCTGGCGAGAACTACAATTGTGCGTCATAATCATATATTTTGAAAGCGACAACAATATGAACACGACCATGACCTATATAACCACAATGCCACATCAAAGTGCGTCGGTGTAAGCCTGTTACCGCCACACATCCTCCATGCAAATCTTCACAGTAACGCGATATGTAGATTTAATTCGGTCGCTTTACCTCGCCGCCGTTTGAAGTAGTGGTCCACGAGGCATATCATGGTAGCTAGGGGGTAATTTAGCTCCCGGTAATGATAGCTACCTGTTCGAAAGGCTATCCGATGTTTTGAAATCATTAGATGTGGTTAAATGTGAGATTGCATTGATTGTTTTCAAGATTCGGACATTGATAGTGTATATACGCACGAATAAGCCACTTCGACATCGATCGATGTTTTAATTCGATTTGACCACGTATTCCTTTCGCGCGTTTAATGAAGTTTATGAGTGTTTTCAGCATTCTACTGTGTAATTACTAAATGAAATTACCTATATGTGGATTTGGTCGCGATCCATCTCTGATTTGTATGGGTCTCATTAGTTGGCCTCATAAAGTAGACGGATAATGCGGCTATTGTCGTGTTTTTGAACACGTGTACTGCAATGCCAGAGATTAGATAGCGGGTTGATGTGGTGAGAGACGGATAGGTTTAAATGACATTTAATTGCCCTCATAATCATTAGCCGGCAATAAGGACAGAAAATGATCTTAAAGTCTTTTCTCTACTTTGATTTTTTTAATCACAGGTTCCTATTTAATTGCAGGCAATCTTGAAAAACGTATGTGTCTTTTTTCAATGCGTACGTGTACTTGATATTACAAACGTGCTTCATGTGCCTATTATGCGCTAAATGTGTTAAATTATGCGTTTTGTAAATGTTGTATTTCAAAAACCTCTAAAATATAAATCACGATTCAATATGTGTTAAACATACTGATTTTGAAATTTAATTTAATAACTAACTATTGCTTTGTTTCATTATATCTCAGCGTACGCACTGCATCAACAAGCTCCGGGGTTAAATCACCTAACTTGATAATCGTAATTAATTAATTTGTTAGTAATTCATACTATCATCATGGTCGTTGGTAATGTAGTATGATTGACACCGGCGTAACTGATCTTCGTCAGAGCATATGCTGGGAATGACTAAAGTTGTTACGAATCGCTTAGAAATACATCTGAATTAAAGACACGCCATATATTCGTTATGAATATACAGGACAACCCTTTAAATTGTGACTCATCATTTATGACAACCCCAGCATAAAACAAATTGGACACGAGTACATTTTCCCCTACTTATACTATACCTTACGTTAGTTTTATTGACGGAGTGACGTGTATAGACTCCGATACGAGTTCTGTGACAGTATTCAGTTATTATATAAGATTTAACCAAATTTTGATAAAATTCGGTTTTGGAGAGTGGGATGTGTTGTGTAAGTTATGTATGTCACATATGAAGACT